TATATATATATGTTTAAAAATATAACAAAAAAGGAAAGGGCTAATGGGAATAATAACGCTGCATAATAAGTGCGCTATCAGGAGACGCGGTAGTGTTTCCCGTTAAGTATATTTTTGAAGTTTAATACATTAAAAACATCCTTTCCATATTATTATGAAAGGGACACTACCATGTCATGAAAAGGACGCTACAGCATATCCTTTACAAAAAGGAGAGGCTGTCTTATGTAGTAAAAAATTATTTTGTTTAAATATATAAATGAATGTTATAAAAAAATGCATATATTTGGGAAGAATATAGATTTTTACAATTAAAATGAGATAACAACAATAAGTCCGTAAGTGCACTTGATGCGTAGATATGAATATATGTACATATTTTTTTATTCAATTTATATCATTTTTATCATTCAGATTCGTTGTCATCTTCGCAAAATTCTAGATAAAAGGATTCTGTTCTCTTTGGCATCACTAGATATAATTACTAGATGATTTTAAGTATTTATTTAACAAATTAAAGAATGTAAGGGGAAGTAGAAAGAGTACTTTGTGCGCAAGTGTAACAATGAAGATGTCTTAAAAGTTCATTTTTTAATATAAAAGTGTATAATATCCATACGTGTTTCAATTTACTTCAAGTTATTCTCAGTGGAATTAGATACAATAATTCTATCTTGTGCAAGTAGTGCATCAACCATCCAACTGATTCAACATACTAAAAAAATTCCTTAGATTCATTTTAGTTTATTGGCTAGAAAGAAATAAGTAAATCTTATGTAATAAAGCTGTAATGAAATTGAGAATGTCAAAGATATATTTAAAATAAATATATAAAAATATTAAGCGTTTTATATATAATATTTTTATATATTTTTATATAAAAATATATAAATCATACAAATACAATAGAACTACAAACCATACGAAAATAATAATTAATAATAGCTATTAACATTATCACACAGACGTTTCGACCTGCTACGAGATCATATTCATTGCTTACAATTTTGAAAATCATAAAATTAATTGTCGAATAATCTAATAATTAATCTAAAATGATGGTTTCAACGTCGAGATGTGATACAATTATCTTTATAAAGGACAGCACCCAACATCTATCTGGCGTACATTAATCAGGATTCGACAATTAATTTTATTATATTATTTTCAAAGTTGTAAGCAATGAATATAACCTTGTAGGTCGAAACTATGTACTAATGTTAATAATTTTTTATATTAGTTTATTATTATTTTTGTATGGCTTGTAACTCTATTTTATTTGTATGATATTTAAAATATTTTTTTTTTAAAGAAACAAAAGGAGAAAATAGACTGTCACTCATTACATCGATGCAACTTGCACATACACAATAAGTAATCAATTAAATGAATATAATAGTTATTAGAATAACAAATTTAATATAAAAAATAAAGGGCTAATGAGCCAAGTTGGTTGTTCTTGTTTATAATATTATTTAATGTATAAATTAACGTCAGTTAATATAAAAATAAACGTTTCGACTCTTCATGTTGGATCATCCTCAATGTATAAATGTAAACGGTCACAAATTAAAAATAATAGTCGCAAAATCGCATTATAAATATTTATTATATTACAATAATTTCATGCGCACGCAAATTAAGTGTCACTTCTATAAAGATGTTGTAGATCATGGTTGATTGCTAATGTCCACTTTGATGATTTTTGTCTTATAATTTAGAGTATGCTTAAGGTTCCTGATTAGTGATCGCGGCGGCCATATTGGAATCGTAACGTCAGAAGCGAAGAATGACACGTTAATTTATGTTGCATGCCATTTGTAAGTAAAGATAATTTGGATGAAACGAAATGACGAGATCGCTTTAAAACATTTGTAAAAATCGATGAAAATCCTTTCCTCTCTTGACAATCTGTAAATGGTCGGTAAAAGACACGTAAAATGAGCCTATATTCGGGCAGAAACGCACAGTCCGACAGCTGTTGAAACGAGTAAAATATACGCTTTTATATCTAAAATTTCAAGATAACTTTAGTTTTCATCGATAATTACGACTTTGATAAATACGAGACAAGTCACATTTTCACAATTAAGCAAATAATAATGAAATGGCACGCAACATACATTTTGTCGTCAAAACGTCACTTTTCCACGCCTACAAGTTTAGCCATTTATCGTGGTGCGGCGCTGTAACACACATATCATACAAGCACGAGCCCATAAATGTGTGCTCGCCTTCGACGTGCCGAGAGTGAACGTGACAGTGAGCTCTTTCTCACACTAGTCGCTTGTTTCAAGCGACTGAAAATGCTTTCTTGGCAATCTCGGCCGCTCGGCAGCCCACGGCATAAAGGATCGTTCGACGAGGATCATTCTGAATAACATATGTTTTAATAAATTGTAGTAATAGTGTATCCCTTCCATTAATACAGAATAATATAAATTGTTAAAATGCAACAGTTTACGAAATATTTAATTGTTTATGATTTTTCATGCGCGTTATATACCTCCTTCATAAACTCGAGTAGCAAGAATAGTTCGGTAGAAGTAGAATTTTACCGGAAAAAAATTATAAACCAGTATTTCTCTTCACGAAAATCGTCGAAAGGCCATCAGAAAAGAAATGAGTATGTTTGAGACTCGAGACTTGTGAAGAAAATATAAATATTGCGAAAAAAAATCGAATAGTTGCAAAAAGCACGTTTTTCGCTTATAAAACGAAAGATATTGATTGTATGGAAAAAAAGTTCAGTATGAAAAATGTAGGTATTCGAAATACCTACAAAATGGGACGTGGAAGATTAAAATCGATCTATTAGTTAAGTAGAAAAAAAAATAAAAATCACTGGAAAAAGTTTTTTTACTTACTTTCTGTTCATTGAGATTTAAACGCAAAGCTTTGAAATTTTCATAAAATGTAGCCCTCGTAATGACGAACAAATATGGCCCTGAACTGTTCATTAATTTTTACAAAAAGCCATTTGTTCACTAAAAATCTGTCTGCAGAAAACTTAATTATTTATATCTTTTTTGAGCACAACAATTTATAGGGGTGATTTTTCTTCTTCAAGAGTTACACTATCACGTACATTTAGTAACAAACGATTTTTTGCAGTTAAACTATTATAAAATGACTTTGAAAAATGGATATCTTTTTTTCGTATAAAAAAATGGAATAATTTCGTTAATATGTGACTTAAATTTGTTAATCAGACATGCACTTTATACTCAAAAGAGTGTTTTTTTAAGTAATATGAGGACTGGCTATTAAATAAAGAGACTGCGCGCGCAGAAGGCATCCTAGAGGGGTAGGGTGGGAAACGAATGCAGCGTTGGATAGCTGGAAGTGTCTACTATTCCAGTACGAAAACACGTTTTTGTCGCAGTAGTAGTATTTTTTCTATAGAGGTTAGAAACGAACTTGGTTTTTTCTCGTGCCGATAACAATGTGTGACGAAAAACACGAGCAACGGATCAATGTGAAATTTCTCGTTAAATTAAAAAAAACTCCGACTGAGTGCTATAAGTTGTTGAAAGAGGCCTATGGTGAGAATTCTCTATCTCGTGCGCGTGTTTTCGAATGGTATAAACGGTTTTCTGAAGGCCGAGAGAGCACCGAAGATGACCAACGTCCAGGTCGACCTGTCTCTGTTTCAACTCCGCAAACAGTGACCAAAATCAATGAAATTGTGCGCGGAGATCGTCGTATGAGCATTCGGATGATTGCTGAGACTGTAAACGCCGATAAAGAAACTGTCAGAAAAATTTTACATGACGAATTAAACATGAAGAAAGTCTGTGCAAAGTTGGTCCCAAAAAATTTGACCCCTGACCAAAAGCTCGTCCGTCAACAGATCTGCTCAGATTTTCTTGAGAGGTTAGATGAAGAGCCTGAATTGATGGAAAACATCATTACTTGCGATGAAACCTGGATATTCCAATACGATGTTGAAACTAAGCGGCAATCCATGCACTGGAAAACTCCTGCCAAGAATGAAAAAAGCAAGGATGTCGAAATCAAAATTTAAAGCCATGCTAATCGTTTTTTTCGACATCAACGGCATCGTGATGACTGAATGGGTTCCAGAGGGTCAAACTGTAAACCAAACTTACTATTTGACAGTTTTGGCAACACTGCGAGAGCGAGTTCGTAAGAAACGGCCGGAGTTGTGGAAAAACAAGTCGTGGATCTTACACCAGGACAACGCACCTGCCCATAACGCGCTGTCTGTGAAGCGTTATTTAGCCGCTAGAGGCACTCCAGTGCTCGAACACGCGCCGTACTCGCCTGATTTAGCACCCTGTGACTTTTTCCTGTTTCCGAAGATCAAGTCTGCCTTAAAAGGAACCCGGTTCGAGTCGATGGAAAAGGTGAAGCGAAAATCGGCGGAGCTCCTAAATGATCTTACAAAAGAAGACTTCCAACATTGCTTTGACCAATGGAAAAAACGAATGGAACGGTGTGTGGCGAGGGGAGGGGAGTACATACATTGAAGGGGAGCATTCAATTGTAGAATAATTTTTAAAATAAAACTCTTTTTCATAAGCAGTCTCGTTATTTAATAGCCAGACCTCGTAAACAGAAAAAAATAAAAATTCAAGAAACAAAAAACTAAAAATTTCATGGTTATAATTACTTTGCGAAACATTTGGTTAAGCTATTTATTTATATCTCGTGGAGATATCCCAGATTTAAAAAAAATTATGTTTTTCGTTAATTTATTGATGAGAAAATGTATATTTAGCAAATTTTAACGCACGAAATCAGATATGCGCGAGTCTGCGAGTGGCCCGATTTTCCCTATTCCGCCCGGCGCGCTGCCTCGCTCGTGTTCCTCAATGGTTTTAAACTTTTTCGGCAGCAAAAAATTCAAGAACTGGAAATGCAATTCTTCCTTAACAAATTGGTGTCAGACGGAACTCTTAATCTTAAAAATTAGAGCCACAGTGATTTAAAAAAAAATTGTTATCTCGACTCCTAATAATCGAAGGGTAACCTTTTTTTTAAATTCGTAGAAAAATGTCAGCTGTCGAATGTTTCACACGGCTATTTAATATGATGCATATTAACAGAATTGTTCCATTTTTTATACGAAGAAAAATACCCACTTTTCAAAGTCGTTTTATAATAGTTTAACTGTAAAAAATCATTTTGCTACTAAGTGTACGTGATAATGCAACTCTTGAAGAAGAAAAATCACCCCTGTAAATTGCTGTGCGATAAAGATGAAGAAAGAATTAAGTTTTCCGCAGACAGGTTTATAGTGAACAAATGACTTTTTGCAAAAACTAATGAATATTTCAGGCTCGCTCAGGGCTAGATTTTTTCGGCATTACAAAGGCTACAATTTATGAGAATTGCAAAGCTTTGCGTTTAAATCTCAATGAACAGAGAGCGAGTGAAAAGAGGCTTTATTCGATGGTTTATATATTTTTTTCTACTTAACTAATCGATTTTAATGTTCCACGTCTCATTTTGTAGGTATTTCAAAATACTTACATTTTTTATGCCTTTTTTTCATACAATCAATATCTTTCGTTTAATAAGCGAAAAATATGCTTTTTGTAAATATTTGATTTTGTTTCACATTTTTCTGTCACAAGTCCCGAGTCTCAAACATAGGCATTTTTTTTCTGATAGCTTTCTAAAGATTTTTGTGAAGAGAAATGCGCTGGTTTATAATTTTTTTCCGGTAAAATTCTACTTCTACTGAACTATTCTTACTACTCGAATTTATGAATAACGCGCATGAAAAATCGTAAACAATTAAATATATCGTGAACTGTTACACTTTAACATGATTTATACTATTTTGAATTAAAGAGAGGGATATATTATTACTACAATTTATTAAAACTTATATGTTATTTCGAACCTTCCTTATTGATGCCGAGGACCTCCGAGCGGTCGAGATTGTCGAAAAAGCATTTTTGGTTGAAACAAGCAGTTAGTGTGAGAAGAAGTTCGCTGTCTCGTTCACTTTCGGTGCACCGAAGGCTAGCACATGGACATGGGCTCGTACTTGAGTGTGTAGCTACTTTCGTCAGACCGCCGATTCTGATTTTGTGTCGCCACCGTTAACGCAGAGTTCTTAGCTGTATACTCAGGAGCCTTATGTATAATAATAGTTATGTATAATATTTTACAATATAATAACGCACTTATTATATTATACAGCGCTATTATTTAATTCCCATTAGCTCTTTTCTTTTTTGCTATATTGGTATTTCTTGGAAACTTATTTATATTATTTAAAAAAATGTTATATAATTGTTATATTTAAAAAATAACATTTTTTAATATTGAACATTTTAATAGACTAGATTTATTAGAAAATCCAGTAAAGCCTCCAATAGTGATTTATAAACATACAAGTCACTGGGACAAACTTAAGATGGGATTAGAGCCGGCTGATCAACAGATTGTGGACAGATTACGAAAGCTAAAAGATGAGGAACGAAACATTCCATTGCCTACAGTTGAGGAGATAAAGCAAAGATTGGCATTATTGAAAGATCAAAATCCAGAAGCCAGTGGAAGTAACATCATAAATGTATGTAAACGAAATGTATAAATATAATTGCATTATGTAGTTTTTTATAAATCGATTATTGCAGGTATATCGAATAGATACTAGAACAAATCAAGAGAAAGCAGAGGATTTAATTCAGGAATATCTTGCGCCAATGGAGCTGCCTTCATCTAGCGACCTTTGTAAAGATATCGAGGAGATGCTCAACTCCTTACAGGATGATGGCAATAGAACTGTGAGTGGATGACATTATAAAGTTTAGAATGTAAAATTGTAATCGTCAATCTTATCTCTTTTAGCGTTTTGATCAATGCATGAAGGAAGAAATCGACATTTACAAAAAGTTATGTCATACGACAAGCAGCGATAATACAGAACTAATTAACAAAATTTCAGCAATGGAAATAGATGTATGTATTCGTGATTTATAAGCGTGCATTTTTAACTCTTTTTGTTTTTTTTTTTCATTCTACAGTTATTTATGCTCTGAAAAGTTATATAGTTATACAGGATGTCCTCGATGGGATCGCCCGTCATGAGCAGGTAGAGTGAAATAAACTGAGTCAAAAAATTTTCTACAATTTTGCAATTTTCGCAATAGTTAACGAAGTATTAATTTTTAAAGATAGCGCGTTCGCCCGGCCTACTACTATCAAGTGTATATCTATCGCTCGATGCGCGGGCCGCACGGAGTAAAGATTGCTTGGAAAACGCGTAACTCGAGTTATGGCGTTTATTGGCTTTTGCCGCGCACACCGCTGACGGGTGATTCCGTAGGTCGAGGACACTCAGTATATTTGAATTTAGCAAATAATTATTAATATTTCTACATAAAATTTATATTTAATAAAAATCACACAGACTCCTCCAAATATACAAGATGATAATGAAACTGAAGATGAAGATGAAAATGAAAATGAATGCGTCATGTGCTCGCGAACCGTGAATGAATCAGACCTATATAAATGTACAGGATGTATAGGTGATCTTTATTGTTCTTCATGTTTTGAGAGTTCTCACGATGAAAATGAAATGATAGATAATCATAAGGCCATTCACTTTATCAAGGAAGATAAATTGTCCTCTGCAAAAATGAACCTTATAAAAAAATTATTAACGTCAGATAGTCGAAAAAACGATCACTGATATTTCGTTACTGCATTATATAAAAAATTTTTCAGAGACGGTTTTACTTTTATTCATATCGTATTCGGTAGCAATTGGATACTGGATGCGCACAAGACTATAATTGGAAACGTATAGTTTTAACAAATGTACAAAATAATTAATTCAAAGATTTCTCCAATTAATGCTTAATGCAAATGATTTTTTCAGTCTCTAGAAATTAAAAGTATGCTCGCTTTGGCTGTGTTTGTTTTGTAGTTATGGTCATTCTTATTCATTTATTATTATTATTAACTCCTTATTTTTTAATGTATTATGATCGATAAGTATAATACACGTTTGTGTACGAATATAATCAGATATAGATGATGTCATGTTAACACTTATCCCTGCTAAAAATTCCAGTTATGTAAATTCCAAATAAAAGTACATACACTCACATCAGGATAGACATGGACAAATCAGTCTTTAACTAACATAAAATTCATCCAAGTAAATATTAAATCTGGTTATATAAGTATTTCCATTTCATAATACATAGTTGAATTCTCAAATAAAAATGTTGTTTGTTTATATCCGCAATTCCAAATATGTTAGATATTGCAAAGAATTTACGATATAAAGTTTACTGCTTTTTATCAGGAAATAACATAATCCGGTTTATGTATTCCTATGTTTAAATAGTGACGACTTATGGATTTCCCAATAAAAGATGGATCTGTAATTGCATGAAGATTCGTATTCAGTTAAAAACAGGATTTATCCTGAATTATTTGGAGTTCCAAAACGGACAGAACTTCGTAGACAAGAGTTGACATAGAACTTATCTGGAACTCCAAATGTATTTTGGATATAATAGGATTTCCAGTGCAAGAAACCACATTTAACCAGATGTCCAAATTCACCGACATGCTTGGAATTTTTACCAGAGATGAAAGCGCCATTCTTTATAGTTTATAATAATTTTAGCTATTTGTAAATTTTGACATCTTCACATTTCTTCGAGTCTCAAACTCTGTAGCGATCGTAGGATTTTAAATCGTAGAAAATTGACTAATAATTGATTATTCTTATCATATTCAATACACTTTTATATTCAATTGTGTGGTTAATCAATTTTTTACGACTTAAGACCCTACGATTACTACGACTTCTATTGTAGACTCTGTGTAAGTATTTTTCTTAAAATTGGCGTTATAATAATATGTATATGTATGGAACAAATGTGATTACTATATTTTCGTATGCAATCATCGATAGCAATAGTCAACCAGGGATTTGTCACGAATAACTATCGTATGTAATTCTTGCTAATGTATGTAACTGCTGACATTTTTATTATTTAGCATTATGTAATATAACTTATATTCTCTGTATAACTTAAATTTTTTTATATAATATTTCTATATAATTTAAATTTTAATTTTATTAACTTTATTACTATGTTGAATTAATTCCTTGTTTATAAAACCATTTCTCTTTAAAAATAAATTTTTTATCAAATGTTCCACTATTGCTATTATGCATAATACGTACAAAAATTTTAGTCGTAATCGTAAGGTCTCAAGTAAATCGATCAATCATAATCAAAATTGCGATTTCACATTTTGAAACGCTCGATTGTAATTGGCCGATTTACTAGCTTACGGCCTTATGCCCAATAAACATTGTTATATTAATGTTATATAAGTGCAATAAATTAGAATGTTACATATAATAAACAATTGTTATTGGTTAACGTACCGGTTAATTGTAAT